AGAGTTTCCATAAAAACTGTTTTTAAAAAATAGAGCCTCTGGGCACGGTGGCACATGCCTGTGATCCCGGTGACTCGGGAGGCTGAGGCAGGAGGATCCTGAGTTCAAAGCCAGCCTCAGCAAAAGCCAGGTGCTAAGCAACTCAGTGAGACCCTGTCTCTCAACTAAACACAAAATAGGGCTGGGGAGGTGGCTCAGTGGTCAAGTGCCCCTGAGTTCCATCCCTGGTACCAAAATAATAATAATTAAAATTTTTAAAAAGCCTATTAACTTCATAAAGATGTCCCAAGAAGGCTAGTGGAAAGGAAAGGCCACGGTGGCCCACTTGGGGACAGGAAGCCCTGGCTTGGACAGAGAGGGGCCAGGAGGAAGGACAGGCAGCACAGTGTGGGAGAGCGAGCAGAGCAGGGCCTGGCAGCGGGTCCTGGGGAAGCCCGGGCTGGGCGCGTGCAGAGGTTGGCTGAGGTGAGGCCAAGGCGGGGAGAGCTGGGAGGGGGCACATGTGGCCACTGCCAAGGGAAGCGGTGATGGCCCTGGGACCCTCAGCCTCCTGCCGTGGCCACTGGGACCACCCCAGGGCCGCAGAGCGGGGCCTGCCTGGGTAGCAGCTCCGGACCAGCAGAGGACTGGAGCTGTCCCTCCCGCAGGCCTTCCTTCCTGAGCCACGATCCCGTGGGACTCCAGCCCGCCCCCTCTGATCCCCGACGCGGGGACTGACGCCCTGTTTTCACGGCTGAATTCCTGGGGCGAGGGGCAGCGGGGCTGGGCCCCTGCCCACCGCAGTGTGAGGCCGGCCCCAAGGCCCTGGGCTGTCGGCCACTCGGATGCCGGTTCCCAGAGGGAGCCTCCCGGGTCGGGTGAGTGACCGTGGGCCCTGCTCATCGCAGACGCCCAGGAGAGCCGTCTGACAAAGCAGTGGCAGCAGGGTCCGCCCGTCGCCTCCTCTGCCCTCGGACCTGGAAACCCGCGGAAGCCCCGGCCGAGGTGGGCCGGGTGGCCTCTGGACCAGGCTGAGAGCCGCCCTCGCCCAGGTGGCTCCTGTATTCAGAGGCGGGTGACCAGTGCCCACGCTGCGCCAGAGGCGGTCACTTCTGCTGCCAAGATGGCGGGTGTCGAGAGGGAGGGACCCACTCTTCACCGTCTCCACGACAGGCCTCAGAGCCACGAGTCAGAAGGTGCGGACATGATGCGGCTTTTTATTCTGGACAGTTCTAGGCTTTATAAAAGGCTGCCCTCGGGGTGTGGAGGTGGCCTGTCCCCCGGGCGCCCTCCTCACCTCAGAGCAGGGACCCGTCCCTCGGCCGACCTCGGGCCACCCTCCACCTCCGCCAGGCTGCTCCCCCGTCCCAGGACCCCAGGGCCCTCACACCACCTGCCCCCTCCCCTGTCCCCCTGGTCCTCCAGGACCCCATGACTTTCAGAGAGAGCTGGTCAGTCACTTTGAAGAGTGACCCTCCGTTTGGGTTTTCCGGTGTTTCCCGCGTGTGGAGGGAGGTGGTGTTTGGGTTGGCGACTCTCTGCCCTTCCAGGGTGTCCCGTGACCGCGGCTTGGCTCCTGGTGGCTGGCTCGTGGGACCGTTCCTGCCTGGCAGTTGCCGGGGTCTGGGGGAAAGCCGGGACGGAGCCAACCTCTGAGTCCAGCCTCCACCAGGGGCCGGGCCTCTGTGCTGGTAGCGGGAGGGACTAGATGGCCGTGGCCCCTGGCGCTCACTCACATGCAGGAGGAGGGTGCTTTCCTGCCCGTGGCTGGCGTGGCCACTTGTCCAGGTTGGAGTGAACGCCAGAGGCCTGCTCCGAGGTCAGGCCCCTACTGTGAAGGCCACTGTCCTTCCAGGGTTGGACTTGGCTGTTGGGAATCCCTTAGGTCAGCGTCGCATTCTGTCTCCCATCCCGTTGGAGCCTCCTGATCTTCTGGCCCACGAGACGCCCAGCGCCTCCCCTGCCTCCCATGCACTGCCCAGAGGCCTGCCTCCTCGTACGGGACCGTGGTGTTTAGAGACCAAGGTCTGGTCCTCCGCGGTGCTCATGGCTCAGGTGTCCCTGCTCCTCAGCCTCGTGGAGGGCAGCACAGGGACACGTGTGTGTGGAATCTAGCTGTACGTGCATTAAACACCGTCGGTTTACCCGGATACCTCTTACTCGGGCCACCTGCGCCTCCCCTCAGAGTTTCCCTCCCGCGGTCGGAAGGCCCACCGTGGCCTCCGCGCTTCCCTGGCGGTGGGATTCTCGGGTTCAGACATTTGGTTTCAGATGTGAAACCCCCACCCCTGAGAGCAGCGCGTTCGCTCCCTTGACTGCAGATCTATCCACGGTTCTTCTCATCTGCAGGGTCACGGTGCCCCGTCAAGATCCGCCTCCACGAGTGGCCCGTGGCCGGCCATGGCTGCCGGGGCCCTTCAGCGTGGTTTTGCAGGAAACCTTCTGTCCAGTGTTGGGTCACCCTCTGTCGGACCCACCCTCCCAGCCTCTGCTCTCTGCCGCCCTCCTGCCACCTTAGCACTCCCTAAGAGAGAAGGAGGCTGTGGAGTTTCTCCAACCACATATTGTTTCCAGTGTTTATCAAGAAAAATGAAGTTGGATGACCGTAACTCTCTGTGCTCTTGTGCTATTGGAGGTGTACCCTCCTGGATGTGTCCCTCCAACACGAGCTCACCCACCCTGTGAGCAGCAAGTTATGAGAGAGCCTGTTTCCCTGCAGCCTCGCCAGCACCATGTGACATTCTTGTCTGTGCCCCTCTTTCTCGGGCCAGTCTTATAGGGGAGAAATAGATGGTTTGATTTCTGCTCCTCTAATTCTATGGGTGCTTCTTCATGTTTGACGGTCATTTTTCTTTCTTGTTTGTGGATTGTGTGTTCCTGTTTTGTTCTCAGATTTTTATCATGTTTGCCTTTTGTGTCCTCCATTTTCAGAGGCCGCCTTGGAGACCTCTAAGTATTGGGGGCATTAGTGACTTTTGGCAGGTGCTATGAACATTCCCAGCGCATCAGTCTGCTCTTGTTTACGACATTTTTTTCCATGCAAAATTTTCAGTGTTTCATGGAGTCAGACCCATCAGTCCGTCTTGCCTCTAGGTTCTGAATCGCCCTTAGAAATAGCTCCTCTACACCAAGCTCCCAGGATGTCCCCCACGTTTACGAAAAAGACATTTGAAGCACAAAAAAATCAGGGTTTTTAGTAATCTATCTGCAACCTGCAGTGACCAGCCCCTCTGCCAGGTGCCCCAGGGCCACCTGGCCAGGCGCCTCCCCTTACCTGGGACCCCTCCAAGCCCAGGAACCTAGGGAAGACTGCCCTGGAGCAGCAGAGACCCACATTCCCAAGACTTGGCCTCCCGCGAGGTTTTTGTTCATGTGTTTCTTTATTTTGTTCTGTGCGTTGGTCCGCAGTGAGTTCAGAGTTCTCTCCTGATTCCTGCCCCTTCCTCACCTGCTTCACCCTCCTTCCCCTCTTGCCTCATCCTTTGTTCACACAACCCCTAACACCCAGCATCCTCTTTTCTCAAAGACCATCCCGCCATTTTCTCTGGGGATGAATGAGCGCCGTCACAGCCCCAGCTTTGGCTTAGGAAACACGACGTCAAGGTAGACGCCCACTGCGCGCCTGCCGGTGCAGTGGGAGCAGGTGCCACTCCTCCCACGTCATCCAGAGCAAAGGCAGAAGTCGTCTTTTCCGCACGTTGAAGGCAGCAGTCGATAGAAAAAGCACCGAGATGCTGAATACTTGCGATGTTTTCAGGGATTGTTTGGTTTTCTAAAATTTCCCGTAACCTACATTCATCATGACCTTGAGGGACAGGGAGAAGACTCTGTTGTCGTGGTATTTTGGTATTAGTGAATGAAGAATGAGACATTTTAGTGAGGTTTGATAGGGCAAAGCCTTCCGGTCCCCCTTCTCTCCCCTGCCTCTGTCCCCCCTCTTCCTCTCTGAGGGTTCCACCCAGAACGCCCCGTCCTGAGACAGTCAGAATGACCTGGGATTGTGCTCAGGAAGGACGGCCGTCAGGAGGGCCCGAGGCAACAGTGTGGCTGGGAGCGGTCGCAGGGCTGTGTGTGTCCGGGCTTGGCCTTGACCGTCCTGGGTCTTTTAAAAACTGGTCTGTAGCCCTCTCTGCATGTTTTCTCTGGGGGGATACTTAGGCTTGGGTTGAAGGGGGGTGGCCTGTCACCGCCGTGTGAACGTGTGCAGTGCGGCTCCTGGGGCGTGGGCCAGACGTGGCATCTGGACGCAGAGGAAGCTCCTGGAGTCAGCGCCTCGGGACGGGAGGAGGGGAGCTGGGGGGTGAAGGCATCGTCAGCTCCTGGTTCCCACTGTTTGTCTGTGTTTCTGTCTGTCTGTGTCTGCAGAGATCCTCAGAGTCTGGACCCTCCGGAGGTGAGCAACGCCAAGCTTCAGTATGCAGGATGGGGTCCCAAGGGCCAGCAGCTGGTAAGAGTCGCGAGCAGTCGCACGTCTGATCCCGACGGGGTGTTCCAGGGCGAGCGGATGAGTGCACGTGGCTGGCGTGTGAGTGGGTGTGCGGGTCCAGCTGGGCTTGGTGCACAGGCCGGGTCAGTGCGGGAGGCAGGTCACAGTGCTGGACTGGCCTCTCTCCTGGTTCCCTGGCCCTTCAGCGGAGCCCACCTTACCTGAACCTGGAGGCTCCACAGGTGGCCTCCTGAGGAGGAGGCAGTGGAATGTCCGGATCCTGGAGTTGTCGGGCCTCTTGTTCTCTTCTCCCGTGGAGGGTTCTGTGTCCACACGCAGAAGCCCCCAGCCCCCCAGCCCCTCGGCTTCACGTCCTGGATCCCCACTCATCCTGGCAAAGCTGGTCTGCAGCTGGTAGCACGGTGTGGTGGAAAGGCCCAGCAGTGCTGTGAGTAGGGTCCAGGCCTGGACGCTGTCCCCCACAGCCCCTGGGCCACTGGCTGGGCTGCAGCCGACAGTGAGCAGCCTCTGATCGGGTGAGGGATGTGATGGCTGGACCCCCCCTCACCGACTCTCACACCAGGGGTGTCTGCAAGCCCCGCCCACTGCACAGAGGGACCCTTGCCCTTCCAGGGGCCCCTCGGCCCGCAGGACAGGCCACTGGGCTGACTCAAGTTGGCAGTGTCATTCTTAAAGCTCTTGAATCTCTAAAGACGACATCAGAACAATATGGGTGCCGACTTCTCTGCAGAGCCTCCCCACCCCCGAGCCTCGCACACGCTGCCAGGCAGCCCGCTCTGGGGTCCCTCTCCTCCCACTGTTTGTCCCAGACGCTGCCGGTGGCGTGTAGACAGCCCGGGCCTCTGCTGGGCACTGCCCTCTTCACCTTGGTCCTCTGACGTGCCGGGACTGGCGCCTGCTATTTTTTGAGGTAAAGAATGAAAGCATGGACAGACAGACTGGCTCATCAACTAACATCTTGCCTAAACCACGAGGCCTGAAGTAATCCCAGAGAGGTCAGTAGGACTGAGGACAGATGCCAGGATGGCCCTAATGGTGCGGGAAGTCCCCCTCCTTCCCACTCCAAGGAGACCAGTGTCACTGAGCACCAAGTGCTAATGTTGGACTGAGTACCAAGGCGCTAGGTGGCTGGTGGAGGTTTTGAGTTTTAAACTTACCTGGCCTTTGGAGTTTTATTAGGCATCCTTATACGGCATTTAAGAGGCAGCGGGACGTGTTACAAGAGTGTCCGTGCGCTGAGCAGGGGCCTGTGGCCAGGAGTCCAGGCCTTGCAGCCTGAAGGCTCCCCCACAGCCGTCCCCCGTGTTGTCATGACACACACGCAGACAGGACGGCAGGAGTCGGGGGGCATGGCTGCGCCCCAGCAAGTCCTGTCACCAAGGCGGGAGGACCTGGGCAGCTGGTCCGCTGACTGACCCTGGCCTTGGATCTTGTCCTCTGTGGGGCTTCCTCAACTGGGAAGGCCTGACCCCAGGCCACTGCCCTAGTGACAGGGACACTGAGCCTGCTCCATCTGCAGACGAAACCTGTCATCGAGAGCAGGCCTCCCCACTCTGGTCTCCAGAGTGAGGGCCAGCAGCGAATCCCTGGTGGCCGCTCTGTTTTGGAAAGTCAGTGTTGCTCCCCAAGTCGCTCTGCTCTCACGGTGACGAGCCAGGCCTGAGTGGGTGACTCTCCTCAGGGAGCAGACAGCTCAGCTGCAGTCAAAGTCCCCAGGGACTTTCAGAGGCCACAGCCTCCTCATGCTGAGTGAGTGACTTCAGCCTTTGGCGCTGCCCTGTGAGTCCCAGGAGCCGACTCAGGGCACGCCCTTCTGGTGCCTCTGCGCGGGGAGGCTCCTACCCCCAGGTGAGCTTGTCCAGCCTTCAGGTTGTGCCACGGGTGGGAGGCCTCCTGAGGGGCCGTGCCTGCCGGAGGACGGGAGGAGCAGGGCGCAGGGGCCTCACGGGGCAGTCGGCCTCTGGCCCGTGCGGGTCTGTGGTGGCACTGTTCTCGCTGGTGACCAGATGGCCACTCCCTCGGCTTGCTGGAGGCCCAGGAGGTGACGCTGTCGGCTGAGCCTGGAGGGGAGAATGGACGTGGCAGGTTACACAGTGCAGATGAGAAACAGCTGCCGAGCGTCTGCCCGGTGTCTGCCTGGCGCCCTCCGCCCTCAGCCACCCCGCGTGGGCGCAAGGCCCGATGTGCAGAACAGCTTCAGAGGCCTTCTGCACGCTGCGTCTCCCTTCCTTGTCCCCTCTTTGTGCGCCTGTGTGAGCTGGGGACCCAGGTGCCTTGGCCTGGGCCTTGGCCTCGTGGAGTCCTGCCTCCCATGAGTGACTTCACGTGGCCGTCCTGCTCCCTGCGTCACGACTCCATCCTCTGGCATAGAAACAGCGCTTCATGCCCTGGCGTCTCTTCTGCTGGAGACGGTTAACGGGACAGACCAACCTGGAGGGCGGAGCAGTGGCCTCCTCTGTCTTGGGCCTCGCGTGCAGAAAGCCCCTGGGCCTCTGCAGCCAGTGAGCGAGGCCCGGCGGGTCTGTGGTGGCACTGTTCAGGGGAACAGATGTGAACTTGCCGCATGGTATTATTTACCCTTTGGAAATGAGAATGATGGCCATTTTTGCAGAGAAGGCCACACAGCACAGACAGCATTAGGCACTCAAGGCTGGGCTCCTCCGGAACTCTCAGACCTCAGAGGCAGACAGAACGGCCACCTGATGCTGATGAACGAGCAGCTTTGGGAAGCACACTTAATGAGTCCTTGGGGAAATTCAACAGCTCAGAAAGTGAAAAATGAAGAGCAAGGGGAGGAGGTACCCAGGAACCTGCCGTCTCCCGAAAGCAGGAGGCCCATGGCAGCTGTGGTGGGGTGAGCGAGGGAAGCCACCTGCATATGATCTCCCAGGGCATGAAAGGCCACCATGATGTCCTGAGACAGGAAGAGACAGTTAAGCATTGTTTACCCAGACCAGAGGCTGCAGGCCAGACATCAGGAAGAACTGCCTTGCTGGGAGCCAGCATTGAAACCCTGTGTCTCTAAATGGTTAAGATGGCGCTGTCCTGGGGTATGAGCAGGGCACCCTGGATGCCCACTTGTTCCCAGCACCCAGAGCTCTCTGGAATGTCATGGCAATGGTCAGCAGCAGGGCCGGTCAGCCAGCTAGGGTGAAGCCCCGAAGGCCGTCCCTGGAGTAACCTGTCTGCCTCGCCTTCTCCCGTCTGTCTGTTCCCTGCTTTGAACACTCGCACCTCTGGAGGCAGGTGGCTGTGTTTCCTGCCCTTGGCCTGGCTCTCTCAGGGCCACCCTCAGAGTGGCCCTAGCCCTTCCACCCATCATCTTCATGCGCTCTGAAGCTGGTGTGGCCCATCTGCCGTGGGCCCTGGGCGGTGGGACCTGGCCATGTGTGATGCTCTCCTTTTTAACCAAGACCTCGGGCCTGGGGGGGCACCACAGTCCAGGCTGCCATGAAGCACAGACAGAAGGGTCCAGTGGGCAGCACCACCGCATCTGCAGTCAGCCCAGGCAGCCTATGTGGTCAGCAGCCTCCTGTGGCAGCCACCAGGGGGCCGAGAAGCGGGACAAGCCCTGCCCCCAGGGCAGCCCTCCTGGGGCACCAATGCTCAGACAGATCCGCATTGGGGACAGCGGGGCAGGGAGCGTCCTACTAAGGTTGACAAATCTGGCAAGGGGGAGAGAGCTCTGTTTCCAGCGAGAGGAGAGTATTTAGTGAAATGTCCTATGCCTGCCAAGGACCAGACTCGAGGGACGTCCATTAATGACTTATAAAGGCCTCTGATCGATTTGGGTTAATTTGGTATTCATTGTAAAAACATTCGTCACGGGCCCTGAAGTCCATGACAGTAGCCAAGAAATTAATATCCAGGGATGGAAATCGCCCTACGTGTCCCCAGATAATGGATGGAGACAGTTGGGTGAGTGATTTACTAGTCCTACCAAGGGCCCTTCAGAGGCAGCGCGACGTGTTCTGCCGCGGGGCTCTGCGGGGCTAAATCAGCATCACGTCCCTGCACTCCAGTAAATAAGCCGCGTTTTTGGTAATTAACCTGAAGGACGGGGTCGCATAGCAGCGACCAGATGAGTTAAAGAACTAGGAGTCAGGAAATGGCTGCAGAAGCTCCTTCCTGCTGCCGATCATCTCTCTGAAGATGCAGGGATTCAGAAGACAAAAGCTGAGTCGTGACCATGGTCACGGAAAACGGCATGGAGGCTCATGGGAGTTTGAAAAGACAGCTACCGTACAACCAGCAGGCCCACTCCTGGGCACGTATCCAAGGAAATAAAATCGATGCGTTGAAGACACATCTACACCTCCGTGTTCACTGTAGCACAATACAAAACAGCCAGGAAACGGGATCCCCCTGAGTGTGCACCAGTGGACACGTGGATAAAGAAATCGTGCCCCCCACACACAGTGGAACATTGTCCATCCGTGAAAAGGAATGAAAGCCCGTCATTTGTGACAACATGGATGGGACCAGAAGACAGGGATTTAAGTGAGATCAGCCAGGCACAGAGAGACAAGAACTGCGCAGCCTCATCCCAGGGAGAAGCGGGATGCTGTCTCCAGAGGTGGAAGTCAGGGAAGCTGAGAGTGGGATGCTGTCTCCAGAGGCTGGGAGGGGAGGGGAGGGAGGGATGGGGACAAGGTGGTCGGCAGTCTTGTCTTAATGAGACCCCAGGAGTAAGGCTGGTGGGCACTGAGCGACTGTGAGGCACTGGACACACCAAGAAGCCAGGAGAAAGGATTCGGCATAGATTCACCACAAGGAAATGGCCAGGGTTCCAGGAGACAGATTCGCTCACCCCAATTTGAACACTGCACAATACACACATATATCAAAACCTCACAAGGTGCCCCACCTGCAGGTACAGGTGTGTGCATCCATTAAAAATAAATTTCAAAAAAATGCCCCTTCAAAAATATGGCTAGGAGGGCTAGAAGAACATGGCACGCAAGCCTTCCATTAATGACACGAGGACTCGAGATAAACTG